CAACAATTTTCAAACTTGGGAGTTTCTGGGCAAGACACAAACCCTTGGCAACCCATCACAAACGAAAAGCTGCCATTACAAACATCTAGCCTCCAACGCGAAGATTCAGGAAATAAAGCCTGGTCAGGCGCAAATCCTCCAAATGTCGTTACCTCTTCCGGCTTGTCCCAAGATTCGCAACAATCAGTTTTGGTAGATATTGACGAACCTGAATCTCCAGCATGGGATGAGGATGATTATGACGATGGTGAAGAGGAAGAAGGAACGCCAGTTAGCCCTAAGAAATCGACATTACCAACGCACGAAACGCAGGAGATACTAGAAGACCAACATGCTTGGGACTCTATTCATGGTCAAAGTTCAAATCAGTCACAAACGATTCCAGTCCAGTCCTCTGAGAACGCACAATATTCTAATCCTCCTGCGGAGGGGTGGAATTTAATTGACCATGATGCCATACCGGAGGATGTTCAGCAAAGCGGAGTAGTCGGAGCAGATGGCACAGAGATTTCTGGAATCCCCTCTGAAGAAATTGCTCCAGCGCTTCCACCGCGCAACTCTCAGGAACATCCTCCTCCTCAGCCTCCGCGCCCAGTCTTGGATGCGGCAAACACAAGTACAATACCGATCACGACACCTGGTGCATCAGCCGCTGCCTTAAGACAGAAGAAAGAGACATACGAGATTAAGAAAATATCTTGGCATGACATCAATGCCCAACACAACCCCAGAATTTCACCTATTCTGGTACAAAATGCAAATGGACCTTGTCCTCTGTTGGCTCTTGTGAATGCTCTGACTTTATCGACACCCGCAAATGTGGAAACTGCTCTAGTGGAGACACTCCGGTCGCGAGAGCAGGTCAGTCTCGGATTACTGCTCGATGCAGTCTTCGATGAACTCATGTCCGGCCGGCGTGGAGATGCTGCACAAGAGCTTCCAGACGTGAGCGATCTATATTCCTTTCTGCTAACACTCCATACGGGAATGAACGTTAATCCCCTTTTCTTTCCCGTTGGCTCTACCCAGTCAGCGAATGATCCCAGAAACTCAATGCCACACATTCATCCTGCGCAGCGTGAGAGTTCGCTTCCAGGTACTTTCGAGGAAACTCGTGAAATGAAGCTATATGGTACTTTCTCTGTGCCTTTGATTCACGGTTGGCTCCCCGAGGAAGAATCGCCTGCCTATATCGCACTCAAAAGATCCGCTAAATCGTATGAAGACGCACAAAACCTGATGTTTCATGAAGAGGTATTAGAAGAGAAGTTAGCTGCTGAAGGCCTCAGTTTCGAGGAACAAGGGATTCTAGAGGACATTTCAACTATCAAAGCTTTTTTTATCTCCGCAGCGACTCAGCTTACAGCTCACGGTTTAGACCTTATCACTAAGTCTATGAGTCCAGGTGCTATAGCCATTCTGTTTCGAAATGACCACTTTTCCACAATTTTCAAACATCCGACAACTCTTCAACTATTGCAGCTCGTGACAGATTCTGGTTATGCAGGTCATGCAGAAGTTGTATGGGAAGGCCTTATTGATGTTAATGGAGAAAGGGCTGAGTTCTATTCTGGTGACTTTCGTTTAGTCGGTGGACCTTCCACATTACACCAAGGAAACGAAGAAGGTAATTGGACCACAGTCACTGGTAGTGGAAATAACAATCAAGTCGAAACTTCACATGATGCACCATCAGGGAATGAACAAGAATCACGGAATCACGAGCAAGGTATGAACACAGAACAGGAAGATCACGATTTCGCCTTGGCACTACAACTGCAGGAAGAAGAGGACGAGCGTAACCGAAATGAAACTGCACGAAGGCAAAGAGAGTCAGAGCTTTCACAGCAGTACATCGAGCAACAGGGGAGTAGCAACAATAGCAGTAATGCCCCGCTTAGCCAGCGGGGCGGTAGTGGGCGGGGTAGTACCAGAGGCCGTGGAGTCAATGTACCAGTCCGAGGAGGGTCAATTCGTGGTAGTACTAGTACACGAGGTCGACCCGCAATTCCGCCTCGCAACAATAATGTTGCCACTTCTGCCATCGCCACTCCTGCCGTCGACCCAGAAGCAGGCATTGATGCACCACCTCCTACATACGAGCAAGCTTCCACCGAACCGGCTTACCAACCTCCAGATAATCATCCTGCACATCCAAACGCAGATCCAAGCCGGAGAACAAGTGCTTATACAGCAACCGCTAATAGTCAGCAACGTCCTCCAGCTAGTGCTGCAGGTCGTCGTAATACGGCTTCCTATGGTGGCATTGGAAGGGGTAGTCAGACACTCATAGATCAGGTTCCTGGGCGCAGGATCCAAGCCCCTAACCAAGGGCTACCGACCTCTCAGCAGCCAGAGAGGCAGAAAGATTGTATCGTTATGTGATTATTGCATTTTATGAATACACGGCAACGATGTATAAGCAATCGGTACATGAAATGAGCGAAACTTCAAGCCAGGCGTTTGGGCAATAGGCATATTGATTTACAAGAAGGAAGATATCACGAGCTATGGGTAGATGAAGGAATTATTCTTAATGTATTATACGTTTTTTTGCAAGTAATTGATTTGCAGGCGATGAATGGGAGGATAAAACTGGAGGGCGATGTGGTTGTCAATAATCGATTTACTGGTAGGTATACTTTGAAATTTCTGGGCTTGATCTGATAATAGTATATAAAGTCACCTCTCTCTTCTGTTTCAAACAAGATCATTCAATGATCGAGACTGGCAAATCAGACGTGATTCTTTCAACGCTTTAAATCGACTTTATGTTCAAAAATTTCAGGGGACTGTACTCGGAGTTGAAACATGTTGCAATTATTGAATGACTCTTACTGTACCAGTGTACTTCAAGGAACAGAGTTCCTTCATCAGCCAACCTTTTCGTGTCTGTAGCTAGATACTGGAACGCTGTTGGATATGCCTTGATTGCATCACAATATGAGAAGATCTCTAATTTTGAACCTTGGATCAACATGTGAAAATGTGAGTACAAAATCGACTTCCACGAGGATCCTTGGAGAAGTTAGATGGAAAAGGTTGCACATCAGGATCACGGATTTTTAGTCCCAAAAGCGTTCTTCAATGTTTCAATGTGGCTCAACTCCTCGGGCTTTTAGTTTCAACCTTGGCCTGTGGTTGATTTTCTAGATGCCCCGATTTTCCTATGCTGTCTCGATATTTCTTTTCACCAATTTAAAATCAGTTTTTGCCCCGTATTGTTGATGTCATTTAGATTTATGATCGCCAAGCTTTTCTATTAAGCCTACGAATCAGAGTGGACGAAAGGACCGACTCTGAAGATATTTACCCCTATTTAACCGCAACTAAACTAACCAGCATTATGGATAAATGGATAAATGCAACGAGCCCCCACCACAACCTGTGCCTGCATATAATATCCCCTCCTGTTCCTCATCTTCAATTTTTATTTCTCTCACTTGCAACGTCTCAATTTCTGATCTATTACGTACACCATGTCTGACAAAGAACCTCTTATTACTCACATCTACACCGCCGACCCATCGGCTAATGTGTTCAACAACACTCTCTATATCTACCCCTCACATGACATACCAACTGATATCCAAGACAATGATAATGGAGATCAATATGCAATGGAAGATTACCACGTCTTCTCAATGTCCTCGATCCCCGGTCAGGTAACCGATCACGGTGTTGTTCTCTCTAATTCTTCCGTCTCCTGGGCCTCCAAACAGCTCTGGGCCCCAGACGCCTGCACCAAGAATGGAAAATACTACCTATATTTCCCAGCTCGCGACCATGATGGTGTTTTCCGTATCGGTGTTGCGGAGAGCGATAAACCTGAAGGCCCTTTTACTCCCGATGAGAGCTATATTCCGGGAAGTTATAGTATCGATCCTTGTAGTTTTGTGGATGATGATGGAGAGGGATATCTGTATTTTGGAGGAGTATGGGGCGGTCAGCTTCAGTGCTGGGGAAATCAACATGAGGTGTTCGAAAGGGAAAAATACGGCACCATGGAACCCACTACTGGACCTGCACTAGGTCCAAGAGTGGGAAAATTAAGTGAGGATATGCATTCATTCTCTTCTCCTGTCCAGGAGATATCTATCTTGGATGAGAAAACTGGCGAGAAGATCGGTGCAGAGGATCATGATAGAAGGTTCTTCGAAGCATCGTGGATGCACAAATATAAAGGAAAATACTATTTTTCATACTCGACGGGTGACACACATTACTTGTGTTACGCGGTAGGAGACAAGCCTGAAGGGCCATTTGTATACAAAGGGAGATTATTGGAGCCGGTGGTGGGATGGACGACTCACCATAGTATTGTGGAATTTCAAGGACGGTGGTGGTTGTTCTATCATGATTCTACTTTGAGTCAAGGAAAGAACCATTTGAGGTGTGTTAAGGTTAGAGAGATCTTCTATGATGAGAATGGTGGAATGAAGGTTGAGTAGTTTGGGAAAGAGGGGGTATGCTTTATTGGCGGTAGCTGCCTTGTACGTGGGATGTCATGAGCAACTTCTTTTATAGTTTGCTGCTTCATAAGTGTCGAGATTCAAGAAAGGAAAGAATTATGACACCTTCTTCAGTAACCTCTAGCGTTGACCTGAGTGTGTGTTAATTTCCTCTTCAACTGAAAATATCTTTACGACTTATATCTATGAAATATCATTGTTAGGCTAGGATAAACTTGTCCGTGGCCATACTAACTTGCGGCGCCTTCTCTACCTCATCAAACCTCCACTTTTCACTGTTTTATTATTGTGATCAATTTAAGGTTCTGTCATTCTCGAACTATTTTAATATGTGGCTCCTTCTTTATAACCATTCAGCTAAGAAACTGTGTTGATCATAACTTACTCTTCACGTTGAGTCTCTTAAAAATATCTCATTCCACCTGATGAATTCAGACGTTTTTATTTCTTCATAAAGCAGAATATTGGATATTCATCAATTATTGAGTGATTGCATCTCTTGATTTCTTCTGGTGTCAGTTTATACAGATGGATCCTGCGTTGCGATCTCCCGCGTATGAGCAGAGCTTTCATTTGTTTTCAAGTTTTCTACTGACTCTGTATTATAGTAATCCCGATGGATTTAGTTGGGCGGCTGAGCAGATTGATCGTGATTCCTTGACAGCAAGACTTTCACATGAATTTGGAGTTCAGATGCCGTCCATAGGAGATAGACTGGCGCTCGACCATAAGAGCTTCATAAAATTCCCAAACGGCAAAGTTTGCATTCAATTTTTTGAATATTACTTTTCTACACTCGGACAGCTATTCGTCGTTATCGACAAGGACGAGTTTTTGGCCAATAACAGGGATCAACTCATCTCCCCAGATAGAAACGATAAGTTATTTTATTGCCAGAAAGCAGCTATTATTGCTATCGCATCCCCTCTATACCCGGTGCCAGCCCCCTCTGTGAAAACCTATTTATCTTACGCAAAAGATATGGCCTTCACAGCTTGGATACAAATGCATTTCAAAACGGTCGATGACTTCCCAGCGGACGTGCTCAGATATCTACAGACTCGCATTCTGGTCTACCTTGCTAGGGTAAATGTGGGCTGTAGCCTTCCCAGTCTATATTGCGAATCTCAAAAGGTCGTCACCAACGCGGCTAAGATAGCCAGATCAAACCAGAAAATGGACGAAATGCTCAAGTGGAAGCTGGTTATTATTGTTGCCTGCCTCCATTTACAGATTGCATTACTAACAAATACCCCTCCGGGAGACGAATGGAGATACCTACGATCTTGCCTTGGATCCAGAGGTGTGGCTGCACCTGGCTGCTTCGTGCTATCTTATGGGCATGGATATCCATCAATAACTACGAATGGGAAATACCAATTTGTCATAAAGAATTACTTGCTTTCTAATTTACAAACGCAGCTTGATGAACAATGGATGAAATGGTGTCCGTTAAATAGGTTCAGAAGTATAATGGGTATGAAAACTTCTTCATCTGAAATTTATGTTTCCATATTAACATTTCACATAGAAATCATGCATCTTAACAGGAATAAGAGAAATGATTTATATCAGCGCTTTTGCTTTCAATACGGGGGAAGATTAGATATGTCTAATAACGACGACAATGAAATAGCGGCAAAAATTTATGACGAAAAAGTTATATGTTACGAACAGATCCGAACTTGCTCTGGACTTTTCTCAGATCCAACAATGACGAGATACAGGGGGTTATTCAATGCCATGTTCCGATATGATTTGATAGAGGCAAGAGCTTTTTTGGATCTGATCGACTTGAAGAGTTGTAATGGGATAGACAAGCTACCTGAACTGGAAAAACGACCAGGAACTGTTGCGCCCGGCGGCTCGGACGTGATCTTCGAGAAAGAGAAAGATAGATAAATGAGACCACGGGCATTCATTGATGAGGAGTTTTAAAGACACGTTACCCACAGGGCTATGGACAATCATTCAATTACTCGAAAAATCCATCAATCACTGTGCGACTAACAAGGAGTTCCAAAATTATTCCTTCGTTTCTTCTGAAAGTCATCGTTCGAAAAGAAGTGTGAGAATAGGGTAGGCGTACGAAGTGCCTGAGAAGCTTTAAGAAAGTACTATTCATTTAAAGAATACCTCTACGTCAGAAGAATGGAATTCGGGCACCGGGAAAATTATCGTGCCACTTGGGACTTCAGTACGTCTCTTCTGAGATTTCATTGTGTTCCAGTAGACTGCTGGAAAAAGAGAACTCTGAACAAGGGAGTTGAATAACAAATTGGCATAACAGGTTCTCGAAATCATAACTGGAAGTGTCTTCGAGTTTGTTTAAATAATGATCAACGAATAGATTATTAGAACAATGGATATCTTTCTCTAAGCAACAAAAGCAAAACGCAAAACTGTCTAGCTGATCTAAATTTCCCCACACCTAATGGCTCCGCAAATGCTATCGTATCATCCATTCATTATCCGTGGAATCACACTCCCAATCACCTGTAACACCCTAATTACAGATGACCGCCACTTTATTCTCCCACTTCTGTCTTTCGGCCAACTCTACCATGAAACCCGCAACACTTTTCCTCGTACATCCCGGCAAGTGACCCATTCCCTTTCCCTCAGCCCCATGCTCCACGATACTCTTCTTCTCTCCCTCCTTCAACATCGCACTTCTCACAACACTGTACTCCAAGCCCGAAGTCTTCAGCACTTCCTCCGCAGCAGCATGATCCTGAAATCCGACTTTCCCCATAGTCGAATTATTAATAAGTAAACGCATTGGTAACCAAAGTGCACCGTTCGAAGAACCCACTCCAAAAGCAGACATATAGACTATTTTCTTGACACTATGAGCAGCCATTGACTGCGTCACTGTCGAGATGACATTTTTAAGGAAATCAGGAGAAGAAGTCGATGCTGCGAAGGGGGAATCCGACGCCCGGCTAGATGAGAGGGTGACAAGAACCGCGTCGATCTTGGGACCGCTGGTAAAGGCGGTTGTGAGATCCGAGGAGGAGGATGGTGTGCCTTTTATGATTGTGAGGCCGGGCGCTTCGGGAATGGAAGAAGGATTGCGTGCGAGTGCTGTGACGGTGTGGTCTGGTGGGTTAGGGGTTAGCGAATGGGGATTCTTGGTAGGCTTTTATGGATGGAGGTGGGGTACTGAAATGCTTGGCTTGGGACCGGGGTAAGGGGATGAAGTATACTTACTTTGTGAGAGAGCTTCAGCAAGTACAAGACTTCCTGTTCTACCAGATGCACCTAAGATGAGGAAATGCATTTTTTCGATCAAGATTCTTTCTCTTGTGGGTGTTGATTGTTTGAAAATTGGTTGTTTGTGTGAAGGGGAAGTAGTGGTGGTTTGTATGTATCGAGCGCCAGAAGAAGCAGTTGAATATTGCGATTTTCACTTTCTACAATGCGAACTCTCAAATATATGTACTCGCTTCTCGCCACAAATCCACGAGTAGAAAGAACGAGGCAGTGAATAAGGAGCCTCTCTTTCCATATCCTTCGGATCCGGACCCCGGACCGGAGATAACAACTCCATAGAGCGGCCTCTTCGCGAATATCCCGATTTCGATATTATGATTATGAATCAGCAAATGAACTGAATTGGAGATAAAGAGTGAGAGTTTGCTGCAGCTGATAAATATTCAAAGCTGAGTTGGTCTTTCACAAAGGGTTGGTTGGTATGAATGTTGTGTCCCGAGTTTAATGTTTGGGGGCGAGGGTGGTAAGACGACTGTGTTACGATCTCCGGACGAGGCAAATTTATATTTAAAGAAGTCAAGGCTGGGAAATCTCTCCTTTAATCTCTTTACACAGGTAGCTGGTTCTATGACGCTTACGCGGTGTCCCATTAAGTAACCTGTGGAATGCAGGCTACTGGTATCAAATTTTTTGTGTGACTGCAAAAAGGGACATCGGAGGAAGGCACCAACATACTCTGGAGATGAAGATCTTAATCTCCGCAACTCTGTTTTCCTTCTTCCAATAGGGTCATCACAAAACACAAACAACTTCGGTATGATTTCGTGTAAGGATTTGCTATTTGCGACATACTTGAAGATAATAGCAATTGCTACGTGGAGATTGATATACGATCTAGGTTGAATCTGCCGCCTGCAACTAGCTAGCTCTTCGGTTGATTTAAGGAGGAGCCCAGGATCAAAATAACACAACCAAATAACCACGATCATCAAATCGCAACAAAAGACTATCCATTTCTTCACCTCTATTACAAATCATGAAATTTCAAACCGGATCGTAAAAACCCGTTGAATTCACGAGTTCACGAGATATACTCTTATGCCCAGCACTATAACACATATATCTTACCTCGCTAGTACACTCATGACGTAAGTTAGGGGCTAGTGCTAGTGAGTGTTTGTACACTAATTAAGAACGGCAACTTGGATTCAATACGCATATGCACATAAAGTACGACTTGCTAATCGCTGATAGTCTATATTGAAGAGTAATAGGAACCTTTCGCTTATTTTTCCAATTACAGATCATGATTAGCAACCATGGAAGCTTTGGGCGAACTGGTATTGTAGTCATTGCAGTACTAATCGACTTTCTCTAAAAGAGAGAGCGTATAAAAAGCATTTCAAGTGGCAGCATTATAGTTGGGCAAAAGAAAGCCCGACAGAGGTAACAGTTTGGAAGCAGAAAGCATTCAAGAAATCTTTATATTTGGATATCATCTAGAGGATCTATATTTGTATAAATCCCCATCGCTAACGTCAAAATTCCAAATCACACTTCAATTTTCACCATCCGTCCGTCACCTACACCTCAAAATATTGTTACGTTTTTCCCATTATCTCCTAGGGTCTTGAAATCTACTTTAAATTCACCAATTATTTGGCGAAATGAAGATCGTATCCCAGCCATTTCCTTGCGTTGACTTCAGGCACGCTAAGCCCTGGGTAACCGTATGTCAATGGTAGGAAATAGTACCATCCGAAAAGTACAACAGAAAGAATGACTCCAACTGCAGCCCAGGACATCATCAAGTTCTGTCCAGCGAGCTTTTCACGTGCTGGAAGATGCTTCTTGACTGCACCTGCTTTCTTCGCGACTCCTGATGGAACATCATCCATGATAGGCTCTACGTTGAAAATGAACTCAAGTAGTGCACCGGTGATCAAACATGATGCTAAGTGAGCAGGTAAATAATGATGCAAGAACAGTTGACGACCCATAAGGTAAAATGGTAGGTAATGTGTTGCCCAAGCAAGGAAAAAGAAACCGGTGGAATTGTAAAGACGGGATCGGGTACCTATAATTATCGTTAGTTAAGTCTTGAAGCGAAGCGAGGATAAAACTCACGGTTATCTAATGCATCAACTCCACGGCGTAATGACAATTGATCAGCAGCCCAAATTCCAGCATAAACTGCAAGTAAACTACTTGCCAACCACCAGCCAAGGGGGTTTCCTAAAAAGTAGATTTGTTGTCTGGTGTCATTTTGAGTCCAGAAACTAACACCTCTTAATAGGAATGGCCAAACAAAAGGTTCGCTAGCATATGGATGGCTGCTAGTCAAAGCATTGTTGTGGTAGAACATTGCTCGTTGCAACTCGAACCATTTCTTCAAAAATGGAACGCTCTTAACCTTACGTTCCTCCTTAATGAGACGTGGAGAGTCCTTTGGAATAGATGGTATCTCATCCACATACCAGATGTTAGAGCTTTGGGCCAAGTTCTTATTTCCGTTGATTTCTTGTTGTTTGTAGGCCCAGTCTGGTAGAGGGGTTGTGTGTGTCCACATGGCAACCTTGCTTGGCCAATGAATAAGCTTGAATTGTCCTTGGAGACTCTTGAAATCTTGGCGTGGTTTGCCGTTTTCGATTCGAAGTTCAAAGAGAGTATCGTTTAGACGCTCACCTAATGCATCTTCGATGGAAACTGTTGTAAATTCTTGGTTTGTTGGGTAATATGGAGAAGCAACATCGTGGGACAAGAGCATTGTGTTTGTAATAACGTGTCTCAATCTAACAACTTCATTGTTCTTGACAGGGCGGCCTTCGACTTCTTCAAATGTGCCTGCAGGAATGATTTGCCAGTGATTGTTTGCATCGGCATAAGGATAACCAGTGACTTGTTGACCTTGACTGGAAACTCTGCCATCATCATATCTAAGAGGATATGTATCGGGATGACTGTGGAGGTATCCGTGTGTTTCCTTATGCTTGATTTGAATGTTATCAAAGTAATTGATAGTAACAGCGTTTGCGGTCATGGCGTTGTCGCTAAGAGTCTCTTGGAATTCAGGAGACATGAAATCATCACCTGGACCAGACTTGGTCAAGATTGCGAAATGAACTTGGAACCAAAACAGGTAGAACAGGAAAGGTACAATAATGAGAGCAACGGCGCGAGCGGCGAAATGCTTGCCAAATTCTGGTAAGCTCAAAGCACCCTGACGGCGATTGATATCCAGCAAACTCCACAGGTCAATTGCGACTGCAGAACCGATTGTAACGAATGCGAATGTACCAACATATTTGGTGGAGATGTCGCAACTCAAGGCGAATCCAGTCAAAAGGAGCCACTTCCACCACTTTCTCGAAAATGGAATATGTCGGAGTTTATAGAATTTGATGTAGCAGAGAAGACTGCATGCCATTGCAAGAACAAGGGTGGCATCCAATAAGATCAAACGGGTTTGCCCAATATGCGCATTATCGAATAGTACCAACGAAGCGGAGAGGACGCAGGCAGGTAGAGTGTAACCAGATTCCCACATGATGGCGAAGACAGTTGGGACTGTCAAAGCTCCCAGAAGAGCAGGCATTGCGCGGAAAGCCACGTATGGAACCTTGTTGTCGATGTATGAATCTCCAATGTTTTCGAAATGGAAATGTCCATCGTATCCCACAAACCAACCCATCAGGGCGAAAAGAAGCTTCCCAAAAGGAGGATGAACATCGAAGAAGTAGGTTCGCTCAAGGTAATATGAAGCAAACTATTGAATAATGGGTCAGAAATGCTATAACTTTGAAGGGAGGAACATAATGTAAATTACCTTGCCAAAATGAACCTCGTCAAACACCACCTCATTGGGGTGACTGATTCCCCAGAATCTTGTGACGAATGCCAGAATTGTAATGATCGTCAATGCAATCCTGTAATCCCACTCTGGCCCGGTTTTGGTTTGTAAATCTTTCACCAGAGCATCGAGCTCAGGATGCGGCGCCGCAACAGTAGAGGCATCTTTTGCTTGAGGTGGAACTGAACCACCTTTCCGTTTTCGAACGGAACCTTGAGAAGACATATTGAAGTTTAAAGAGTATAAGAGGTTCTAAGGGACGAAATGCAGATTAGCCATATGTACCTATGCGAAGGGTGGTTGCAGGAGCTATGATAAAACGATGCAACTGTGTCAAAACTGGGAACAACTTACAAGAGTGCTTCACAGCAACTTTTTTAGAGAGTGTAAGAAGATAGCATTGATCTCAAAAGAGACCAGCAGTAATGAATTGTTGTCTCTCGTGTTGATTGACTTTTTAAAGAAATTGAAGCCCCCTTGACAGAAACGGGTTGAAATTATTACTCCAAATTTAAGCCGCGTAAGAATAGGACACTTTGTTAAGAATCTCGCCTGTTTAACGTGAGCTTTAGCTTCATCATCATTTGTTTGATCAACTCAGGGGTATAAAATAGATTTGCTCTTATTGAAACGGAACATGTTTATGTTATTTTTGTATATATAACTATTCAAATTTACAGATTTACAGATCAATATTCGAGATCAACATTTACATTTTTATATTCATACCTAGTAATTGACCGGTACTTATTAACCTTGAGACCAAGTCGGAAGGTACAAAAAGAAATATACGAGTCTAAAATTAGCCCCATCACGTGAAGATAAGAGAAGAAGATAAGAGCTCTTACAACTGCTCCAATTCAAGTGTCTCAGTTATAATCAGTTACAATACCGGTAGCTGGAGTAAAAATACTTTGTTGCTATACGAGACTCCCACTGTATCCCCAATCCGAACAAGAGTCATATTGATGCCACGGAGAAAAGATGTTCTCAAGAATCTTGCCCAGATACGGTGCCATCAGCTTAACTAGTCGTTCCTCGCTGACCACAACTCTCGTTCCAACACCTCAGCGAAGTACGATTTCGACGACACATACTTTGAGAGCTCATAACACAATCTCAGCTAGAGATTGGTCGTACTTGAGATGTAGTAGACACAAGTATGGAAAGAAAGAAGCGAGTTTAAGTGGCCAGTCTAAGAGGTCTATTACAACAATCAATAGCGCAAATCTCCCAGCTCGTAAGTTTTTAGATTGAGTTTACAAGACTAGATACTAAGCCTGCTACAGCAATTGGTCCGTACGTAAGTCAGCATTGTTCGAATAGAATTTGAATGTTCATCCGTATTAATCAATCCCTTGGAACGACAGTCCCACGCTGTGCAGACACCTTTCGGTGTCTTTGTCTCCGGTCAACTCCCCGCAGATTTTGAAGGAAATCTCGTAGAGGGAACAATGCGTGAAAAGACGGAAGCAGTTCTCAAAAACCTCCAAGAAGTTCTGGTCACTGCCAAGTCCTCCCTCGATAGAATTGTTAAGGTCCAAGTTTTCTTGACAGACATGAAAGATTTCGCCGAAATGAACGAAGAGTATGAAAAGTGGATCACTCACAAACCAGCGAGAAGTTGTGTAGCCGTTAAGGAGTTGCCGAAGGGTGTCAATATTGAGATTGAATGCATCGCCATGCCCTTAAGCACTGAACCCAGGGAATAAGATTTATTTACTGTGCGGCGGGATTATGTTTTTATCATACGATACCTACCTATCAAGGTACAGTGCAAATACACAGATTTTTATCTCGTTCTGTGTTGTTTCGGTGGATCACTAGGTTCTGAGCTGTATGAAAGTTGAAATGCGAGAAGACAGACATTCAAATGATAGCAGTACTTTCTGTTTATCTAGCTGGAAATGTGGCATGACCATAAGCTTTTTGGGTTTTTTTTTCACAACTTCGATAGTGAAGGTTGCAGTCATAACAGCCCAGAATCAATGTTCCGGCGAGAATTACCAGAAAATTCGGGATTGTTGTCGGGTTCAGATTATAGGTCCGGCGAGTGGAGCATAGATAAGACGAAGTATCTATGTATACCCTGCAGCCTCTCTTTTAACTCACTGCTGGTATATCCATCAAATCCCGAATAATAGCTTGGGCCCGGCTTCATTCTCTACTTCAGGACTTCAAGAACTAACGTCCTTACATATTCACCCGATACTTCCGTTAGCCCTCAAACTAAACTGTGTATAACGGTGGGCATGTGACGAAGAATTCAAATGGATTTTCGGAAGTCTCCATATTATCTTGAACCTATAAAGTATATAATCCTTCAAGCGAAGTCCTTTTCTCACTAGTCAATACGTGGCATCCGCGTAAGATCCACTAGCCTCCCAACTCCCGTTCAAGCGAACCGGATAAATTGAGGCAAAATCACGAGTTCATCAACTTCATCATTTCCCGGCCCGTCATTTCCTAGTATTAATATCAAATCTCACATATGCACCCCAGATAGTTCAACGATAATCTGGGGAATTGTGTAAACACTTAGGTTAGACGGCATTGATTACTGGAAATGTCTGGGCATACTTGGAGTTTTGCAGGGTATATTTCTAGGGTGGTTTGATAGTTTGTATTCACTATTTTTTAGTATAAATGGGTTGCCCCGAGATTCTTATATTGCCTGTACAATTAATGTGCGTTCTCTTCTTTGCTCAAGTACATTCCAGTCCGACTTTCAAAAAGTGCAGGGCTCTCCAGCTTTTTTTGTAAAAGGCATACTGCAACAAACTCACGCAAGCTTATTAACAATGAGGGCCAATCTCGTTCTCTCTGCTCTTTTCTCCTCTCTTCTACCCGCACTCATCCACGCTCAAGCTTCCGGAAGTGGTACAACAACCCGTTATTGGGATTGCTGTAAAGCATCCTGCGGTTGGTCCAAGAAAGCTACTCTAGCCACTGGTTCCAACCCGGTCAGTTCCTGCGACATCTCGAACAACCCACTCACCGATTACGATGCTGCCTCTTACTGTGCTTCTTCCTCTGGTACTGCATTCATGTGTGGCTCACAAACACCTTGGGCAGTCTCAAATACACTGAGTTATGGCTTTGCAGCTACGACGATCTCAGGTGGAACGGAGGCGAGTTGGTGCTGTGCTTGTTATCAATTGACATTTACTAGCGGACCAGTGGCTGGTAAACAGATGATTGTCCAGGCTACCAACACAGGTGGAGATTTAGGAAGTAACCAATTCGATCTTGCTGTATGTTTACATTCTCCTCACCCAATCACTCAAACACATGAACATCTCACTAATGCTCCCCTACCAGATTCCCGGTGGTGGGTTCGGTATCTTCGACGCCTGCACACATCAATACCCATCAACACCCGCATCAGCGTGGGGTGCCCAATACGGCGGTCTCTCCAACCGCACCCAATGCGCCTCACTCCCCGCCGCCCTCCAAGCTGGCTGCTACTGGCGCTTCGATTGGTTCCTCAACGCCGACAATCCTGCCATCACCTTCCAACAAGTCGCATGTCCCGCTGCGCTCACCGCTAAAAGCGGTTGCGTACGTGCCAACGACGCCATCAACGAGACCCCCACAGGTCCAAGTGCAGTCCCTACCTGGGCGAGTTCAACCGGCGCGGCTGGCTCTACATCTTCAACAACTGCGAGCACAAGTAAGAGCACGAGTGTGGGCGCAACGGCCAGTACGAGTTCGACCACCACCAGTGCTGCAAGTGGCGGAACGGGAACGCCCGTCGCGCGTTATGGACAGTGTGGTGGAACTGGATGGTCGGGTTCTACAGTTGTGAGTTGAGAATTTCTTTTTTTGCGTCTTGGATTTTGTTAATTGTTACTTGCTGTCTTTTGTTGCTGTTGCTTGTTGGGTATTCTATCGTCATGGCTAATGCTAATCGTTTTTATAGTGCGCCTCGCCTTACACGTGCACGGTTTTGCATGCTTATTACTCGCAATGTGTGTGAGGATTTCCAGGCTTGGAAGAAAAGGGAAAAGGTGGATAGTTATTCGACAAGCGAATGGAGGGATGGATGGCTGGCTGGACAGGATGTCAACATTGTACATATCGCGATGGTTCTCTGTACATATGGAAGTGGCTTTTCAATCATAGTACGATTTTTGATGCTGTGACTTCTGGAATGAAGAATCGGATTTTGGTTTCGGCGGGTATGAACTGATGCTTTGAAATGTTGTGATGGGAAACTTTGTGGTGAAGCTCATGTGATCTCGAAACTACCGTCTAGCCCATGCTCGTCAATGGGGATTTATGTGTTGGTTTCAAGTGACTTTCCTTGTCAATAATAATTCTTCATGGTCCTTCTGCTTACCAACACAAATGAGGTTGTGCGTAACACGATTGAAGTATTGATTCAAGAATTAGGTCATTCGAAATATTCATTACTGGTATGAATCCAGATTATACAGTGATATTATACAAATAGTTGATCCTCCCACAGGCAATCAACACTATCAATTTACTTCCTAGACAATAATATTATCCTCATCATCAGACGGGGTAGCCTCATATCCGTCAACCTTCGAAACATAAGGAGGCCTACAAAAAACCATCAGCAGGCTCCTCATCTTCGTTCCCACCCACAGAATAAGCACACTCACCTAGCCCAATTTCTCAATCCCACCAAGCCCGCCGTACCCACAGCATAAGCTCCCAATAAATTACTCCATCCCGTCTCTCCAATCTGTCTCTGGCCAACCGCCAACGCTACCAAATCATACACTAAACATCCACCGAAAATCCAATCACTGTTACTAGCCAACATACCAAATCCCAATCCTGTGACGATTTTGACAGCGGTTGAAGGACCCTCGTGGTCAAAATAAGCTACAGATCCATTGTGGAGGAGATCCAAAACACCGATTCCGGCGAAAGTTTTGGAAACTATATGGGTAAGGATGGAAGAGGTGGATTGTGTGTTCATAGCTGGTTGACGCGCAAATATGTAGTAGAGTTGGGTGAGGGAATTGATAAGAACGAATATGTTTGCGGTTTTGAGGGAGGCGGAGTTCCAGAAAATCATCCAGGCTGTTTTGGTTAGCATTGGTGTATATTTCCTTTCGTCTAATCATCCCTCCCCCCTTCCATTGTTTTGGAATAGAAATACTCACTAGCAATACACAAATTCCCCACACAATAAAAGGGTACGAAATCCACCATCTTATCTACCTCCTCCTTTTCCTTGATACTTTTCTTCGGATCCAATTTCCACAATCGATATAGCCATACCAATTGGAAGATCTGTTGTGGGAAAAAGAAAAGCGCAATGGCGTATGGTTGAGGAGACCAAAATGAAAGATGCGCATCGTGAATATCTTTCATGTTTGGGGAGGAAAGCATGCCATATTGTTGAGCTGCAAAATCGATCAAGAAGGAGAGAGGGGCGACGTATCGCGCGGTGCTATGGGAAATGCCCATTATGAGTTGAGGGGTGGAGATATTTTGGTAGAGTTGTGAGATTGTGGAGGGGGGGGGGGGGGAATTGGATTTTTGTAGTGAAATCTTACAGTAATAAAAAGATTGTGAAGAGGCAAACAAGAGCAGTGAGGAAACTATATAAATGGTGGTATTTTATGGTATTTTGTTTTACTGGCGATGACGATGACGATGATGATATCGATTTGACAGCTCGCTCGCTCCTTCCGGATAATCCGCCCAAAAGTGATGATGTCAACGATCTAAATAAGTTTTAGGTTCGTCCCGGAGGTTTTGTCCCGCGTTCAATAGTTTAGTTACTACTCCATGATTTAGTCAATTGACCAACTTATAAATTATTTATAACATGGTTTATAATTTATTAGTATACTTTACTTGTTAGGTATAGAGAATCTCATGAATCCGTGCACCCACTGGCGGCCTTGCTTGTATACCTATCTATGGATATGCTTTACCACCCAAAAAACCTAACAAGTTGCGACAAGTGTCCTTCGATTTTGAATAATTGCGTAATGCATGAACATTCGATAGGTAGACAGATACATAATGCCATAAGTGTCAGGTAAGGTTACGTGCTAATTCCGTGAGATTCCTTTAGTCCCGCAATCATAAGAAATTCCTCCACTACAGTCATCTATCTCCCAGAACAGTCCTTCAACCTTCATATCAATCACCAATTTCCTTCACTTCGTACTAGGATTGGGACTAATAGTATTTTCTGGAAACTTTCTGAAAAGATCACCCAAGTGGTCAATTGGCGCTGTCAATAATCCAACAACCGTTTCGAAGGGTGGTTTGCTGGGAGCACTGGGATGGCTACGGCTAGGCACAAATGCCTTGGTGCGACCAAAAGATTTAGCGATAGCTTGGGATTCGTTATTATCAAGGGCTGATTCGAGAGCGGGGAGATCGTTGCTTTCCTCGCCTTTGATGTGCTCATTGAGGTTTTTCATGAGTGCATCGAGCGTAGGAATCAGGTCCTCATCTGATGGTTTGAGTTTCTGGAGTTTGTAGAGGGCTTCCTTGACCTGCAATTTCTGTCATTACCTTTTTCAACTATGCCAACTCAAAATGCACTCGCTAGTGCACACTGCTTGCAGAGGTAGAGAAACATACAGTTTGATGTTCAGCACGATCTTCATCGGCCATCTTCTGACCTTGCACACCAAGGTGTTTTGCAAACGCAGGATAGACTACCAATTCCTCTCCGATGGAGTGACGAGCCAATTCCCACGTAAATTGGTTCTGCCAGCGTGCTCGTGTGTCATCATCCGTAGCTTGGCGGATTTCATCCGCGTATTGTCTGATTTCTGCATGGTCCTTGAGGATTGCGTCGGTGATGGTGGTCATAGTTGCGCGTGTTGTTATACTTTGTCGCTTGATCGAAGATAATATTGGAGCGGGTCGACTTGCTGAGCTGATTGCTCGTGTGAGAATGTTCATCTCTGAAGGACTATGTAAGAGGTATGTTGCAAAAATTATGAGCATTCTGGCAGAGATTGGAAGGTTTAAGTATTGAAGGCGATGATGCTATTGCCAAGATATGAGAAATAGTGCTATGTAGTACGAACACGTTTAGTTACGTAGTGATATCTAATTGCAATTTTTCATTGGTAAATGTTTCACCAAGTGATGATATAGGGACCCAGAATTAATGCATTATGACATGTATGGAAACATATCACTTGCTATTAGTATTCATATGAACGTTGAAATCTAGATACTCAGTTGACGTTTGTATTGTTAATTGATCGCTTTGATTGGCCCGGAGATTCTGTTCCTGTCTCGTTAACTGCAGATGGATGGAAAAGTGCGGGGTGAACGAGAAATGCATTCTTAGATTGTTCGCTAAGTTACATACCAATCTTCTCTAAACTTAAACCGGTACTAAGCCCTGCGACGTTTATCAAGCGCTTTATTTGCTTTGCGAAGACCACGAATTTCAGTAGTCAAAGGTGGATTCGCATGAGCTCGAAGCTCTGTACCCTTAGCTAAAGCTGCAACTGTCTCGAATATAGGTGTAGGTGAACTGCTTTGATGGCGTGCAATTCGACTTTTGACTAAAATAGATTGAGAAAAAGTTTCAGTAGGATTATGAGGTGTTTGACATTGCCATATTTCAGGATCGGTTGGGGTTGATCTACTTGACCGAGTCGTTATTCGAATATCTGCTTTGAAAATACAACTTCAAGAGGCTCGGTTTTGATAATATCGGTGATATGTACCTTGATAAAATTCTTGATCTATCGACTAAGTCTACATTGAGATAAAAGTGGTACATATACTGATATAATACACGTACTGATATACTATATTATGTTTCTTAGAAATCGTATATATTAAAATCCAAGACGTATATTTATTTATATCGATCGACCTCGCCTCGCGTCTCGTTCGCTCATTCATGAGGGGAAATAAGAGGGGTTAATTCTGTGGAGACCGAGATCGTCGAGATAAATCGATAGACCCTGTCAATCATTTGTCTACTGGTGGTTTATTTAGAGAGCTAAAATTGTAATCATTACATGTATGTGAAAGATCTAAATATGATATATGAAAATTAATACAGGTTTGATTGATCAGCTTCTGATGTGCTTTTTGTCTCTTTGGTCTGGATAGTGCAAATACTGTGGTTTATACTAGACTCAAATGTCAAATCCTTCATGATGTCATCGTGAGACATTCGATACCGCGTTGAATCCGATCCGACATCACAACGAATTTAGTACTATCGTGAAGTTTTCTTAAACACTACTCAACTCAATCCTCATCGGCCCTAGATCACTAGTATCCCTTCCGCTTCCTGATACCACGCCTTCCGTCTGTGTCTCCACACCTACCAAGATCGGTCCCTTCAATAATCTCCTCAACCTCATCTTGCCATTCATCTTTCCACCAGCATTTTCATCATTGATGCCCCCCTTCGTCGTGAGTCTTTGGAACCCAGCTTGGATGTCCTCTAAAGACCTCAATCGCGTCTCTGGCATCCAGATAGCCATTACAAAAACGGCTAGCAATGAGAAGCCTCCAAACATAAAATAAGCACCATAACTAGAATGAGCCAGAAAAATCGGTGTCAAGAATGCCACCAACCAATTTGCGAACTAGACAGCCATCAGCCAATCATCTTCATGTCATCATGTATTCAAATACTTACAAAGTTCACCCCCTGAGCCAAACTATTCGCCTCATTTCTAGTCTTCATAGGTTGAATCTCGCTAGCATAAATCTTTCCTATGACTGCCTATGTCGCACAATACGTCAACGCAAATATAAAAATGAAAACCACGACGATCCAGCGTACAACCCCATAGGGATGAACAGAATCCGAAAGATATAGTGCGCCGATAATGAACATCGACGAGGATAGTATGCTACTGCCAACAAGACCGGATGTACGACGCCCCCATCGATCGACGTAAAGGGTAGCTGGGATGGTGATGGCGACCATGAGTATGGCACTCACACCCGAAGCGAGAAACGTGGACGTTGTCCCGGGTAAACCCGCAGTTTCGAAGAGAGTTGGTGCGTACTATTTCGTGTCAGTAAATCTGTATTCTAGAAAATCTGTGAAGGTGATTGCACACATATAAAACTCCGTCAATCCCACTTAATTGCAACGCCCCCAACAAGAAAACTGCCAAGAAAGTTCTGCTCCTATACTCTTTCTCGAAAATTCTCAAGAAGCCCCTGATTCCCTTCTTCACATCCACAGCAACTGGAACTGGAACCAAAATATCTTTCTCTGCTTCTTCTTTCTCAATCCCCAATCTTCCTAGTGCCCGTAATGCTTCTTCCCTTCTCCACTTGTGAAGCAGCTATCTTGGCGAATCTGGCAAGCAAGCACAGAAGGCTGCGAGGACGACAGCAAGTAACGATTGGATAATGAATGGTGCTCGCCACGACATCGATGACTCCAAACGGGCAGAACCAAAACAAGTAAATTATCCTGCGCAAACACCAGCTGTGCACATGAATTGTGGTAGCGAAACGAGCATTCCTCGCGATGCACATGGAGCTGTCTCAGTGATATATCTAGCATGATGTTAGAAATACTACAAATCATTAAATTCCAGTCCCTCAATCAAACTCACACACTAACACACCCCAACCACAAGCCCTCACCTAAACCAGCGAGTGCTCTTCCCGCCAACAGAACCCCCAATCCATCTGCACCAGCTTCCATTCCCGTTCCGAATGCAAAAATAAGCGATCCAGCCATAATCACATAAAGATGGCCATTTCTCTCAGCCAGTTTACCACCGAAAATAGAGGGCATAGCTCCAGTCATCATGATTAATGAAACTGTGAAACCATGGAGTAGGGGCGATAGATCTCCTATTTTTGAGGTAAAAGATGGCATACTTGTGATTGCACCGATGGATCCTGTATCGTAGCCATTGGGGAAACCACCCAGAGAAATAAGAGAGGCAAAGATAGTGTAACTTTTAGGTTTTGATAGCATGATGGGTTTGAATGAGAACATGGGGATGGATCAATATTGACTAACAAACTTGATAGAAGTTTTGATGAGAATAAAATGAAACAGGACATGAGTGAATGATAGCTCCTTTTGGAGACATCATCAAATATAAGAGATTGCGATATTCTTTTATGACGATGTATTGAAACCGGTGATTGTATCGACACGCCCTTCGCTCGTCAAGCCCTTCACTTGTCAAGGCATGTAAGATCTGACATCTATGATCGGGAAAGAACATCCAATCCCATCATTTGCCATAATTTCGCTGCTGCCTGTATTACCGGTGAATCAACGTCTTGTGCTCTGGTAACATTCTTCCACTCACTATATATAAATCTGCAAACTAACCAGAAGAAGAAATTTATAAATCAAATTCATGAAAAGAAAAGAAAAGAAGGAGGATACATTAGTACTACATTCATCATCGAACCATTGGAGGAAACCAACCACGGGCTGCCTTTCCGTGAACTGGACTGCGAATAGTTGGTCTCGATGAAGGAGATAGAAGATGCACATTGTAAACTCAATGTGCGGATTGAGAATACGACGTATTGCTAAATTTAGTACTTGAAAAGAGCACGCGAAACTCCCCTCGTGTGAAGTGCACTGAGTAGGTAAGTACTACTTGGTCATTATTACTTCTACCTCAATAGAAGGTTCATCACGTGTGTAATAGATCCATGGTTTAGGTAGACTTGTTAGTAAATAAGATTGAATAGAATTGCAATTAGGCATCAGGTTTCTAGGGAATCCTTTATGAAAATCCGATGTCCCTGATTGATGGTCGTTATTGCTCAACCCATCAGGCCGCGTAGACCACAACAATTTTAATGATCCAACTAGTCCCCTCAAATCTGTGTGAGATGATTTATATCCACACGTCTTTTGATACTGGTGAATTTATTTCATTATAACATTTAATTATTTGCTTTTCCAATCATCAAGCTCACCACATCCCAATTCCATTTAAATGTCTACCAACCTCAAGATTCGTGCCAGTGACCTTCCAGGTGGTAGAGCGTCCTCGATGGACTTTCTTAATTCTTCATTTTTTCAAAATGAACGTGGCCAGTGTTTGCCCGCACCAGCAGAAGTTTTCGCATTATCTGGCGACGGGCCGAGGGAATCCCGACCTCCTCCTGTCATTTTCGAACACTTGAATCTTCTTGTTAAATTTGGTCGTTATGTTAAGATTGCTGAAGCACAGTGTCTTTGGATCATCAAAAAGGATCTTGGGGGTGAAGTTCCTGTCCCAGAAATCTATGGATGGAGAACTGATGGGGATTATGTGTTTATATACATGGAGTTGATACGAGGAGTCACATTGAAACACCAGTGGGATTCCATGAATGACTCTGACAAAACTAGTGTTTGCGAACAGCTAAAGAAGATAGTATCATCGCTGCGGAGCGTGGAGCAAGATCCTCAGGATCCTTTCATCGGTATGTTATTGAAATACATGAAGACTTTAGCACCGTTCTCAATGTCTAACTTCTTCATAGGCTCTCTCAGTCGGGGTCATCTTTCAGATATCATACTTGAGAACCAACCTCCTGGCGGCCCATTTGCAATTATTGAACAATTTAACGACTACTTTTCTTCACTACCCTGGCTTCCTTTTACGCTCCCGGAGAACTTCAAGGACCCTTGGAGAGAGCATCTACCAGATGACGGGTCGATTAAACTAACGCATGGGGACTTGAGTCGAGGCAATATCATCATTTCCCCTGCAACGCCGCCTCGTGTGCTTGCAATCATCGACTGGGCTCATTGTGGATGGTTTCCTGACTATTGGGAGTACTGCAAGGCAGCTCATATGTGTTCGTATGAAGGAGAGTGGCTGAATGAATGGATCCCGACCTTCCTGACTCCATGGGTTGAGGTGTACAGGCTTTTTAATGAATATGCATATGTGATGGGAGCTTTCTGAACTTGAATGCCTTTTCTCTATACTAACTAATCTTGGGCTGATGCTTTCGGGATTTTAATCAGAATCAAGACTGTCTAGAGTTAGTCTTTTCGAAGAATATTCTTAACTATATCTAAAAAGTCATTTTGGGACCGAAGTGAACCATCCGTTATCTTGAAGACGGGAGGGTTGGCGCAAACGTCGAATTCCGGGATGAGTTCTCTTGCAGTCAATTCATGGCATCCCAAGATTCGTATAGTATTGCTATTTTCTCATGAATTAATCCTACAGTTTCCTTTTCCAAGTTGAACGCACATTCTTTCAACCCCAAACTCGAGCTTTAGCCAATTCCTAACCTGTGTTCTTATTAACCATTCAGCTGTATTAGCTTCGATAGCAAACATAATAATAAGCCGTTTGCCACTACTCGAGGGTACCATTTTAAAAGGGAAAATATGAGGATCTAATATTGTTAAGACAGAAGAGACAGGAAAAAGAGGACGCAAAGTATGCGACTTTGTGATCTTTATTTGCACGTCTTGCGTGTATATTGATACAGCAAAATTTGTTTTCTTTCAACCGAATTTCCGACAAATCAAGCAGTAATCTAAAACGAACCAGTACAGATAAGAGCACCGGAATATCCCTGAAAATCTGCAAATGTGAAGAGTTTAAAATCTCATTGCTTGTTGCTCAACTTTTGCGAAGTGGATAATTGTTTTAAACGAAGTGGTCATGAATATTTGATTCATTAATGCTATCTTGTACACCAACGCCAGCTAATATACACCCCGCTAGTCTTTACCAGACTTCTAGTTGTATTGCATATAAGTGGCAGTGGAGTTGAACTTCAAGTTACCCTTGATGACCTTGTCAACTGCGCTCAAGAAATCCTTTTCTGTCGCGACCTTTCTTCTAGCACGAATGGCAAACATTCCTGCTTCTGTGCAAACACTTCGAAGTTCAGCACCGGTAGAGTTAGGGCAAAGACGTGAAATCAATTCCCATCTAATGTCTCTCTCGACAGACATACTCTTGGCGTGGATTCTGAGAATGTTTGCTCGTCCCTCAAGATCTGGTAGCGAGAATTCGATCTTTCTGTCGATACGTCCAGGTCTCATCAACGCGGGATCCAGGGTAGAAGGTCTGTTTGTAGCGAACATGACCTTGATATTTCCTCTCGCGTCGAATCCATCAAGTTGGGTAATCAATTCCAACATGGTTCTTTGGACTTCGTTGTCTCCTCCGGCACCATCATCGAAACGAGCCCCTCCGACTGCATCAATCTCATCGAAGAAAATGATACAAGCCTTCTTCGTCCTCGCCATTTCGAACAATTCACGAACCATTCTAGCACCCTCTCCGACGTATTTCTGCACCAACTCACTACCAATAACTCGAATAAATGTAGCATCGGTTCTGTTGGCGACAGCTCTAGCGCAAAGTGTTTTTCCAGTTCCTGGAGGACCATAAAGTAAAGCACCTTTGGGTGGGTCGATACCAAGGTTGACAAATCGTTCTGGTGATAACAGTGGCATTTCGACGACTTCTCGTAGCTTTTCGACCTGTTCCTTGCAACCTCCAACATCACCATATGTAACATCAGGCTTCTCCTCAACTGTCATCATCGTAACGCTAGCATCGATCTTCGGAGGTAAGGGTAATAAGATTTGGTACTTGTTGCGGTCGACACTATTTGAGATAGGATTAGCTTTGTAGATAGTTTGAGATCGTATTCCGCATACCCAACTCTCATTCCTTCCTCAATATCTGTAGGACTGACACGGTCGCCAAGGTTCACAACGAATTTCGCGATCTGCTTAACGTTGATGACATATTTGCTCTTTTCCGTATCCTTCTCGTCTTGGATAATCTTCGTACATCTTGCAACTTGTAAAGGTTGCTCTTCTGACATCCGTTGTCTATCTGCTGCTACATCCCACAAATGAGGTGGCGCCAATCCGGTATCTGATTCCTGTTGGAAGTTTAGGCCCTGCTTGTGTATGCCATAAATTCTGATCTCCTACCTTTACGCCAATCTTCTCATTCACACTTGTTTGCTTCTCTTTGATCTGTTGTTCGAGTTTCTTTAGCGCGGCGCCATATGGAGCTGCGCCATAGGTTTTCAGGACTTGAATATCTCTACGTTTCGTTAAATACTGAAAGTACGCGGTAGTGCGATGACCTGGATAACCTTACTCATCTGATAAAGGTGTGATCTTCTTCTCCTCAACCTCGTCGTCGGCGAAGTCCTACGAACTTGTCAGAAGGAGTCCTGGCAGCTTGGATAATAATATATACCTTCTTATAGTTCTCCCAGTTTTGCCCCTTTGCGCTGACCTTCGAGATTGTTAGTCAAATGTATAAATGCCAGACAATGTAATACGAACCATGATGAGAGCTGAGTGACGAAAGGTACGATGTTGTAAGGTTGTGTTTTAGCTGAAGATTTGATGGGTGAAGTTTCGTGGAATTGGTCTTTTGCGTAGAGATTAAAAATCCAAGGGTAATGTTATATCCTAACCCAAGTTCCTTTCAATGTGGTGGAGAAAATGTGATTGTGAGGAGTTTAGTTTGCTGTGTTGATAATCCTCCCATAGCTCTTAGGTATCCAAAGGTACGTCGGCGTTGCTTGATAAGCTAGTCCAAGATAAGGTTAGCCGATTTTTCAAAATTCGAAATCTCAAGACAGACGCGCAGTAGGAGAAGAAACGCGACGACGTCACTTCTTAACATATTCTGAGATTAAACGTTCCAGATTTCCTACAGCCAATATCAGATACTTCAAGATGGCTCTTACACAATCAGCAGGAAATTCTACCAACAATGCCTTTAAGGTGGGACATTTAAGTAGCTTAGAGGGGTTGTTCAACATAGCTAATGTGGTCTATAGGACAAGGAAAAGCCTATGGCTGTTCGAAATGCCAACATTCTGGCTGCCAGAGGTGTGTTTGGAAAAGTCAAATCATGCGGAAGTAAAGCTGACAAAATACAGCTGTCGCAGATGCATGCAGAACCTCGCTCGGTCCTAGGGGAATGGACAAGATGATTCAAGACGGCAAAGGAGGAACACTTATTACAAACGATGGAAGCACCATGATGAAGAGTATGGCAGTTATGCATCCTTCTGCGAAGATGTTAGTCGACCTTTCAGCAGCACAAGATGTAGAGGCTGGAGACGGAACTACCTCAGTCGTAGTTATTTGTGGAAGTCTATTGGGTGCTGCAGATAAATTACTAGGAAAGGGAATCCATCCTTCAGTTATTGCCGAATCGTTCCAGAGAGCTGCTGCAGCTTCAGTCCAAATTCTACATGATATGTCGGTTCCAGTTGCTCTCAGCGACACCGCAACTCTTTTACAAGCCGCCAACACATCACTTTCTTCCAAAATCGTTTCACAATACTCAAATCTTCTCGGCCCTATGGCAGTAAACGCTGTCACAAAGACAATCGATATTAAGACTGCGGAGAATGTGGACTTGAAGAACATCAGAATAGTCAAAAAGTCGGGAGGTACCATCGAAGATAGTGAGATGGTTGAGGGAGTTGTTTTGACTCAGGGCGTCTTGAAGAACGGAGGTGGACCTATCAGAATGGAGAAGGCAAAGATTGGACTTATTCAATTTCAACTTAGTCCTCCAAAGCCTGATGTAAGTCATTTTGAGAAACTATAAATCGTATACTGCTAACGTATTCAGATGGAAAATCAAATCGTTGTCAACGACTACCGACAAATGGATAAGATTTTGAAAGAAGAGCGTACATATTTGTTGAATTTAGTTAAAAAGATCAAGAAGGCGAAGTGTAACGTTTTATTGGTATGTTATGTTGAATTTCTTTCCCGAAATATCTTTTTGGTCAACCTATTTATCACAAGAGTGCTAACAACAACCTTTAGATCCAAAAATCTATCCTCCGTGATGCTGTTAATGAACTCTCCCTCCACTTCCTCGCCAAACTCAACATCCTCTGTATCAAAGACATCGAGCGTGATGAAGTAGAATTCATCTGCAAATCCACCGGCTGCAAACCTATCGCCGACATTGATTCTTTCACCGAAGATAAACTCGGCTCAGCCGACCTCGTTGAAGAAGCCCAAACTTCCGGTTCCAGACTTGTCAAGATCACCGGTACAAAGAGCGCAGGCAAGACCGTCTCCATCGTCTGCCGTGGCGCCAACTCCCTCATTCTCGACGAAGCCGAGCGCAGTCTTCACGATGCTCTTTGCGTCGTTAGATGTTTAGTCAAAAAGAAGGCATTGATTGCCGGTGGAGGAGCTCCAGAGATCGAAATTGCATCGCAATTAGCACAACAAGCACGAGAATTAACCGGTACCGAAGCTATTTGCTGGAAGGCATTCGCTGACGCCATGGAAGTAATCCCCACCACTCTTGCCGAGAATGCAGGTCTCAACAGCATCAAAGTCGTCACCGAATTACGCCACAAACATGCAAACGGAGAGAAGAATGCAGGTGTCAGTATCAAGAGTGGAGGTGTCAAGGTTGATATTGCGGATGAAAATGTATTGCAGCCACTTTTGGTCAGCACGAGCGCTATTGAATTGGCGGCTGAGACGGTGAAAATGATTTTACGTATTGATGATATCGCTTTATCCAGATAAAATGTCCGTATCTAAAGCAGAAATTTAAGGAAAAGTTGATGATTATGATATGAGGTGTATATTAATGCCTGATGGCGAGTGGGATATCATTATAGAGATAGATATTTCGCTTAACCCCTTATGGCATCAGCTTTAATGAATGAATCATGATCGTCCTAAGGAACCAACATATATTTATTGGTGCAGATTGAAGCGATTTGAACCAGTGACATGAAAGGTATTTGAATACCTGTGAATTATGAAACGAATGCCCAAGTTTTCAAGTAGAGAGCCCTGGCTTCTGTTTCTGTTGTGATCAAAATGTAGTGTAATTTCTATTCATATGTACACTCATTGATCATCCCAGGGAGTATACAACCTTTTCTCAAGGCTTCAGAGAGGCCTGTATAACAATCAACC